GGGACACAGACCGGGTGATAGACCCCACCACCCATCCAGGTGTCCCCTTCGATGTCCTGCTTGTAAAAATGGCCTTCATTCCCACTCCACCTTGTTGATTTTCATTACACAAACATTTAAAATACAATTCATCGTAATAAAATCTAAACTGTACCTAAACCATGGCAAATTAGGGAACTTTATAAATGTTTTTTTTTTTTTATTTAGCTTTAGTTAAACTATTCACACTACAAATCAGAGACTAACTTCAGTTCGGTGGGCTAGCCAGGCTTATGATCACAGGAAGGACATTAGGCTCCGTTATAAGGATGTTTTACCTGGAGACAGCGTGAGGTTTGTTCCTGCAGGGCTCACCGCCTGGATGAAGAAGTAACGGACTGGTAAAACTGCGGCGGGATCCAGACCTGGACCCCAAACGAGACATCTCTGAGGGCTGATACCTTCACCCTCAGAAACCGGTAAGTTTGGGCCAAATACCAGCGCTAAAATTACACACTTAGTGGTTAAAATCCTCAACATAGATGCGATTAAGTCTGCGCCTCTCCTGCACGACATATCTCTTCAAATGTCATAAGCTAAAATGCATAAAGTTGCTAAAGTTTGGTCTTCAGGTCCTACGGCGACATGTTGGTGGAGGGGCACGCGCATTACTGTGTGGTGCGTTTAAGGGCAGTCAGATATATCAGATGCAGACATTAACCCTTATATATATAACTAGTATAATTATAATTATTTTAAATGGCATCAGTTTTTTTCTCATTTGTTTATTCAGAAGAAAAATATGGATAAAGAGCTTGACATTTAAAGATGACAAAACTGTTTAGGAAGTAAATGCAATATTATAAATGTCATATTTAACTTTTATGGGAACATTTTTAAATTCAGGGACAACAGTTTGAGTTTTTTTTATTTTTTTTATTTCATTGCCTTTAGTTTCCCCACCCCCCATTTTCTACCCTTCCTTCATTCAGCGCTTAATCTTGACTCTCCATCAAACCAACCATTTATTGCACAAGAAAGAAAAGACTTCTGCATTAAAGTTGGTTGCTTTTCCATCAAGTTTCTGCTTTTGTTTTAATTGACCAATCAATTAGCGTCAAAGATAAAATAAAAATTCTGGTTATAATAAAAGTGAAATATGAAGAGATCTAATGTGCAATGGAAGCAGGTTTTCACTGATCACAGAAAACTGTAGTAGCTATAAATTTCAGGTTTATTTTTCTGCATCTTAACATTTCCTCTTTCAGCTGGAAGGTGTCAAAACAGCAGCAGAAAAAAAAGAGCTACTGTAAACAAAACCAAGGCAATGCAACAAAGCTTTATTTTTAACTCTAGCATTGGGTGGTTCTTAAGCATTTAATAAAAGTGCACTGGAGTCTTTTTTTCTTTTCTTTTTTTACCTTTAAAAATAAAATAAAAACCAAACTTGACAGATTTGAGGAACATGACTAGTATGCAAAGATGTTTTCTTGTTTGTGTCCCAGCTTTTCCAGGTTTGGAAGGCAGGCGTTACGGATCATAGGTGCAGGTCCGCAGAGGACGATGAGGACATCTCCGGACGCAGCAGGAATGTGCTCCTTAATCATGTCGAGGTTCACAAACCCTGAACTGTACGTCCAGTCTAAAGAAAACATCAAAACCCAAAGAATGAATTTATTTTTTTTTGTGCATGTTAAAAAAAAAAGTGAAATATAGACTTCAACATAATGATATTAAACAGCAGTAAAGATCATCTTTTTTTTAATCCTCCTGCTACTTCTCTTTCAATACTCAGGATTAAACACTTCCTCTACATCCTGTCTTGTTGAGAACGATAAGGACTATTTCTGTTTGCATGAGAAAGGAAAGTAACAGGAAACATGACAGAGTTGACTGTCTTTAGTTAACTTACCATCACAGATCTCTGATACGTCTATATTAAAGCTGAAGTTTGTCTCTATAAGGGACTGAAACAGATGCTGTTGTGTTGCGTTTATGTGAGGAACTGATGAATAAAAATAAAATACAAGTAGCAATTTAGGAGTCGGTGCTAACTTTAACTTACTTTAGGGATTCCAAAAAAAAAAAAGTTAAAAACAATCCGCTGGATTCTGAGTTTGAAGACGTTTTGCTTCCCATCCAGGAACCTTTTTCAATTCAAAATGTCAGAAATAACGTTGAGTTCGAGGTTTTATAGAGTAGCCAAACAAAACCTTGTTTTTCT